AATTTGAAAATAATAAGTAAATATTACGCCGGAAAACTTGAAATCGAAATTAATTGATAAAATAACTTAGTAGATAAATGTGATAATAAATGTAATTAAATATATATTTAATATGAGATACGAATAAATATTAACAAATATAAATTAATATAATAATATTTTTGAAAAATATATCCGGCATCTGAATTTTTTGGCTTGGGGGAGGGGGGGGGGGTGCGTACGCCAATGCAACATTAAATAAATTGGAATGTATCAGTTATTATATTATTTCATAAAAATTAAGAATATCATTTCATTACTCACGACATTAAACATTTTCATTTATTTTATATTTAAAAAATTAGGTTATTTATCCAAATAATTAAGCAAGATTATTAATAGATTCAAATTTACAAAATTAACATTTATACCCAGTGACATGATCATAAAATTTGCGGTGGGGGCACGCCATTACTCTAAAAAATAGTATGGGGCACGGGAAAAAAGGCAACGATTTTTTTTATTTTTCCAAGAATGTGAGGCAAAATTCATTATTTTTTTAAAAAATAGAATATATTGAAGCATTAAATATGAAATAAATACATTATAACTGTAATATATAAAATAGCTATTTAAAAAGTTATATAAAAAAATTAAATATATTGCAAAAATATCTATATATTCCATAAAAAATGAATATTTTAGAATGCATTTCATAATATATAAAAATAATTATATTAATATAATACAATGCATAAATGGTGATAGATTTAAAAAAGGTGAAAAAAGTACAATATTCGCCATAGCGAATCTTTTTTTAAAATATTTTTAATAATATGTGTATGTGCCCGTCTCCTTCATTGGTTAGCAGATGTGTGACACAATTTTTAATATTTAGAGAAGATTTATAAATTCTGCAGTATACTACAAGGAAAAGTTTAATATAATTTTGAATCACTTTCAAATCACAGGGGCCTTTACTTTCTTTATTATTATTAATATATTCCCTGACCTCAATTATTATAAGATCCACATCGAGCTGTGTCGTAAACAAAGTCCCCATAAGGAATGTGAGGGCATGATGGTCAGTTATCTTTTTCTTAATATTTTATATCAGATAAAATGTATAATTTAATATAATATTTTTAATTTGTAGAATTATCAGAATCAGAAGCTACTCTTTTGCATATTGTTTATTAAGGCAGTAAAATTGTTTTTTTTGATCCCAGAGTGCCTTCTATTTTCCTTCAATATTACTAATTCAATTTATTTATTTCCCTAGCTGCTTGAACTATTTTTATATGTTTCTCTTAGAAATATTAAATAAACATTTATTTGGAAATTATAAGGGATAGAACCTACCTCCTTTAAACTATTTTAGAAAACGAATTGTTCGCTTTGTTGATTTTTCAGCTTTAAATGAACTGATTATTATGCATGGATCCTTAAAGACAGATTGGATAATTCCAATAGAACATGATACACAAAGGCATCTGGTGATAATTTAACTTTACAATCGTAGGACAGCTCATTAAATAATTTGCTAAATTCTTGAAATACGTATATAGTGTCTCATGGTTATTCCAAACATCCTTAGTACAAAGACTCTAGACACTTATAACACATCGTGTACCATTCCAATAATCAAAAACTTAATGCCCAATTCAGACGCTATATGATCCGACCCCTTTTGATTTTTGTTAACCTGGCTATATAAACTATATATTGTGTAAATAAAATATTTAAAGTGAACGCCTATAACATTTTTTATTGCATTGGTGCTAATTCTAAACGGTGATTTAAACAATGTCATAGTATGATCGTTGATAATGTGTGCAAAGGTGATAAAACAAATTTTCTCCACGTCATGACACTGGGGCCATCGCTAACAAAAGAAGTGGTTCATCAAAAGAGAAGAGAAGATTTTACATAAAGAGCCAAGGCTGGGTTATTTGACAATGTTGTAGATTCATCTGCCAGGAGAACGATTTTGGATTGTAAATTGATAATATTATTTAAAATTTTTATCTGCATTTGCTTTTAATTATAAACAAACCAGAAAACCTGTAAAATATCCTATACCCATTGTGCTCTTGTAAATCTATTAATGATTCAAATCCTCAAATGGGCGATTTGCTTTTGCAAGATAATATGCAGTATTAAATATTATCTGGTTTGTTAATCAATGTGATAAACGATTTTTAAGGCAATCTGGCATTATTTTTTTCGTTTGGTTTCATAGCTTTATTCAACAACATTGTGTGCAACTGAATTGATATGTTTTCAATTTTTTTATGCAAACATCGTAGTTTATGTGTTCTGTTTTATAAATGGCTGCTATTAATTGTATAATTGCACCATTTTGATATATTCAATCTTTGGAAATGTTAGCTAAAAAAACTCATTTTGGAAATGATAGCTAAAAAAATCATTTTTAAAAATAGCAAGAGAAATAATTGTTTCCTGAGATTGTAATAGCTAGTGAAGCCATTGAATATAAGTTCCTTTTTGGCGTGCTATCTCAATTATTACTAATATTGTCATCAACTATATGGCTGGTTCTTTTATCTAATATCATGTGTATAAAATTTAAGCGGAAAATTTAAAATAATATAAAAAATATTAAGGATTGATATTTAAGTTTTAACACGTGCCCCGTTTTAACGTGTCATTATTCCTCAACTTAAAACATTAAAAATATTCATATTTACTATTGTGATACATTTTATATGCTATCTTATATAGGAAGATTTAAGCTTCCATTTGATATAAAAATTTTAAATCTCATGATTATGAGAAAGCTGAAAAAATTTTAAGAAATATTCACAAATATTACAATAAAAGTAACTGATATAGAAGAAAAATTATTTTTGTCACACATTTGTATCATAATTATCGTGATTGAATTTCACTCTCTAGACTTTAATATTTTCAAATAAAGTGTTATAATTTTGTTCTGCTTGTTCCGGTCTCCCCTGAAGACAGTAGTGCAGGCAGAAATTCTCATGGGGGGAGGGGTTAAAAATTTTCGCCTTCCAAACCTTTCATTTTTTATAAACGCTCAATTGCTTATATCTTAAGCTATATTAAAATTATTTTAAAAATTTGCATATAAAAATTTTTAGAGCATAATAGATTTTATTTATTATATAAAAATACTTTAGCATAAATAAAATTTATTTAATCGTGTATTTATTTTTTATTTAAAATAAATTTCAAAATATAAGTAATTCTTATGCAAATAATGGTATAATAAAATATGACAAAAATATCAAAATTTAAATAATACATAGTTCTTTGATTATAGTATTAATTGCATAAATTAAAAAAAATAAATGTTATAACTAAGAATTCATTTTACGAAAAAATTTGATTATAAATATTATAATAATCATATTGCAATTTTTTGATTTGAATTTATAAAGAGAGGTCTAGTTTTCTCTGAGATTTTGCTAATTCATCTAGAATCAATTTTTATCTAGAATAATCTCCTTATAAATATTTAATAAAGCTAATCCATTTAACGTTTTTATCAGTGATATTTCTTAAATAGGTTTTTTTTTACTTTCTCATATATTTCATGAAATATTTCATCCACATTCTCTCTGATATTTGTTAATATTTCAACATATCCTTTGGTCTATTCAAAACCTCCTTTAATTCCAAATCAATTATTGTAGCATTTTTAAAATCATATATATAATTAAATAAAAGATGAACACATTGAATTGATATTAGAAATTTCTTTGTGAATCTTTTTCCTTGCTTGATACATAAAATTCCAGTGCTGCAAATACAAATTTTTCTTGCTTAAGTGCTGCAAATACAACACCATATAGTTCAATAATCACAGACTCTTGTCTTTCAATGAATCTAGTCGGACAAAATCTTTTTAGTTTTTTTTTTGATTCTTTGAGTCAGTCATGATATGTTAACATGGAATATGACAAACTAGACAAGTCTTATGCAATGCAAAATAATTTAAAATTTATTTTAAAAAATATAAAAATAATCAAATACTTTAGATCATTTATTATTGCTGTGGAGAGTAAAATAAAATAACCAAATTACAAGACGAAATTTATTTTGATTTAATTAATTTAAAAATATAATTGACTAAATCTAATAAATTTTATATCAATATATACTTTACAAAATTCAATTTTACAATTTACTTAATCGGTCAATGTAAAATAACAATCATTTAAACGATCAAGATATTAAGAAACTATTAAATTAATATTATATAAACAGAAAGAAATAATCCGTAAGGTAAATATAAAGTTAGTATAATGAAAAATAATATAATAAGTCCAAATATATTAACAATTATATATAAATAATAATAGTTGTTTTTAAATTTCAAGCATTATCAATTTAGTGAATTAAAATAAAAAAAATTTTTTAAAAATTTAATTAAAAAAATTTTTTTTTCATGTGTTAAAAAATTTAATTTTAAAAAAAAATTTTTCATGTGGGAGGAATTTGAACCCCCCCCCCCCCCCACCCCACCCATCTCTACGCCACTGCCTGTAGAACAGTGAAAAATATGCTCAATCGCATATAAGATTAAATTTCCATTTATGAAATTTTTTGATTTTATTCGATGTTTATTACTATATTTTGGGATTTACTTATCGTTTAAGAATATTATAATAATTTATATTCGTTCTTTTTAATATTTTGTAATTTATTTCCAATATTTTATTATTTGTTTTCGAAATTTTAAAATATGATTAGTTTCAATAAATTCTGCATGATGATTAGTTCTAATAGATTATTAACGTTTCAAAAAGAATCACTTCAATATTAAATTAATTTACCCCCCCCCCCCCCGCCTCTTTCCCATAGATAATTCCTGGCCATGCAACTGAAATGAATAAAATAATTGAGTTAAAAGGACACTAATTAGCCTAAATTATTACTTTAGATACCTCTGGATTTTAAAAGCTTTTCAACATAAAATATGACTAATTAAAAAATTATAGATTTAATTTAATTTATGAAATTTTTAAACAGACCTCGTTATATGCTACTGTGTTATTTTTGGCCCTGGTGTTCCATAAATGGAAGAAATAATCTTTGCTGGGATCCTCAAAATCTTTTTCCTGCACATCGGAGTTATTTTTATCGTCCATGTCCATCTTAGAGCCGAGAAAATGTTCCCTTTTAGAATATAAATTTCAATGAAAGAGAGGGTATTTATCAGATACACAGAGGTATCATTTGCACAGCCCGGCCGGCCCGGGTTTTATATTTTTAGGCCCGGCCCGGATTTTTTTTAAATATATTTTATTTATTTTTAATTTTATAGATAAAGGCGATTTAAAATATCTGGTTTAAAATATACCGGCCCGGGTATTTCTTAAAAATTTTCATAGGACTGGCTCGGGTATTTTTTTAAGAAATTTTTAAGCCTGTCCCTGCCCTGGTATATATAAAAAAATAAATACGGTCTGCAAATCTTTGGTATTTGTCACTTGAGCATTGGAATTAAGTTTTGCTTAATCAAAATTATTGGTTTAATATTAAATTCATCTAAACTCAAAATATGCATATAAATTCGCTCCTACTCACAACATGAATAATTATTGTATTATTTTTTAAATTTATTGTTAATTTAAAAAAGATATATATGTCTAGCAGAGGACAGATTTTTAAGGGGACTGGCTAAATTTATTTTTATCATTTTAAATTTCCCCGTATTTCTTAAAATAATTATTTTTATACCGGTTTATATATTTATTTTTAGGACACAGACCCAATTTTTAAAATTTTAATTATTTGAGAGGACAATTTTTAAATATAATCATTTCAATATATGCAAATTTGTATATTATTTATATTATTTTATCAAATGAATGAAATAATTTCAAATAAATTGAATGTCATCAACAGAATTAAACTTTATAATTCCACAAATTTCCTTTATATTTTATCTATAAAAAAATACTAAGCCCTATTTTTATATTTAACCAAAAAAAGTCACGCGCTACTAGTTGGAAAACCTTTTGTTTCTACAAAAATTTAAAAACTGTTTAACTCTATTTAGCATTGGCTCAGTTTTACAATAAATTATTAGTACTCTATATATTATATTTTATGTATTTTTGTGATAATTGATGTTAAATTTCTATATTCTAACAATTATGATGTATGAGCAAAGTAAAATTTTATAAAAGCGACAATATGCCCAGTCTCTTATCATGCAACCTTCAAAATATAAATTAACTAATAAAATAATAGATTTGAAATTTCGAATAAAAAATTTAATATTCAAACGAATCAATACACTATTTATATTCGAAAAACAATTTTTTAAAATTTAGCTGTTTTTAGGATATATTTTCTGTTTATATAATAGCGAATTATTAAAACCTCTATTATTTTTAACAAATCAGTGACACCTTTTTGATTAGGAAGTGTACAATTTATTTTTAAAAAATTTTTACCCTTCGGCTGCCACATATTGCTTCAAAATAACTCATTTACTTTACGAGTTTTAAATATATTATGTATAATAGAAGTTTCTTTGTATTTTAAAATTTTATTATGATAGTAATTGTGTCATATTAGATATTTATTTAATATGCAAATAAAATCACAATGATTCTACAAAAACATATATTTAATATTGAGTATTGCTTAAAAGTCTAAATATTAGAACACAAATTGACTTTATTAATAAGGCATTAGATGTTCCGCCATTTCTTCTAATACATATTCTTAGTAGAGAGTTAGATCTTGGCATATATTTAATATGGCTCAGAATATGGATTCTATACTTTGAATAGCTCATAATCATTTGCAATATCAAAAATGGAAAATGAAATGAATTTTTTTATACTAGTTTTTTTTTTCAAAGTTGCGTTATATTTTTTAAAAATCCAAGGTTAAATAATAGTTTTCGGATAAAATCTAGATTTCGCCATTTTTAGCTGGGCTAAAAAATCAGGTAAAGCTGGAACTAATTTTTATTTCTAGATTTTGGTAATAAAAAATATAATTGTTTAATTATTTTAAATTGCGAGAAAGTTTTGAGTTAAACAATGGATATATAGATTATATTTTTAATAGTCCTAGGTTTTTGAATACCAACTTTCAATTTATTTCAGTTTTTGCAAGATCAAATAGATGTAGAAACATTTGTGACTGTGTTGTATTAAGTTTATTAATACAATGCTAAGATTTTTATTAATCCTATAATTATGTTCATATTTATCGTTTGAAGATAACGGTGCACGAAGAATCCTAAATAAATAAACAAATTATTATAAGGAGAAATGTTTAAAAAATATAAAATTCACAAGGAAAGTTATCATTATAAAATATCTTTAGACAAATTTAGTAAATTAACTCTTTATTTAAAAAAATATTCATTATATATACAAGGTTTCCCATTCAAAAAAGAAAAAGATACAATCACATAAGGAAAATGTCCTATCAAAAAAGGAAAAGGGTCAATCATAAAAGGGAAATGTCCGATTAAATAGAGAAAAGGTCAATCAAAAAAGGAAAAGTCCCAAAGGTTGAAAAAGTCTGATCAAAAAAGGAAAAGTGTCAAAATCATATTTGCTTTTTTCTACATAAAATAACCCAAACACTTGAATTTAGGTAATTTTTATCCCTTAGACAGAATATACAATTAAATATTTTTAAATTTCCATAATTATTATTTTCTTAAAAAAATTTTTCTAAAATTTTTACTATTATTATTTTGATTTGTAAATATTTTTAATTCAATTTTTTTTAGAGATTTTATTGACCTTAGAACCTCCAGGTCTCTTCTCTGATGGAAAACATCCAGATGATTATCAAAATTACCTGGAACGGGTAAATTTCTAATTAAAACTATTTCTGTATTGATCTCTAAGCCTCCTCCAATCTAAACTCCAACATACTTGATCTTAAGGAGCTGCCAAAAATCAGTAGGTATTCGGAAATATCGTAAGATCATATTTATAATTATAATCTCCTCTAATTAGCGAAGGGTGGCCCCGTGTTTTCAAAAAACTTGGTTTCCGGAAATTTAAGTAACCCTTACTCATATCTACCTTTAATCAACCTTAATCCATATTTATATAGCTTTAATTTTACTCCTTACTTCGGATACTTATTTAGTTTTAAATATATTTTATTCATATAAAAAATTCCCTTCAGTAAAAATTCCTTGAGTTGAGGTATTATGATTAGCTAAGTTATTATTTCATTTCTTATATTAGTAGAAATAAGATATTTAAATTAAATTTTTGGATAATTTTAATATGAATATAAAGTAAAATAAATTAATATTTATATTTATATTAATTAATCTAATATTAGATAATTTAAATCTTCTAATTTTATATTAAATTAGAATATAATATATTATTTTATAATATTTAATCCCATAGTGGAGTTTATTGTTATTTATTTTATAATATAAAATAATATTGCAAGCTAATAAATTTTGAGTCAATTTTGAATAGACATATAATTATGATTTATTATTTTGATAATCTTAAAATTATGTACTATATAGAATCGCCATAATCTAAATACGATCGTTTTCCTATCATCTTAATGTATTAAAATTTAAGGAGACTTTACACCCTAATATTAATTTTTTGGCAACTACCCGATTCGAACCTGGTATATTCCACCTCTGAAACGAATGAATTGAGTTTGGGGCTGTGCTAATACATGTATAAATTAAATATATAAATCCTGATTATAGTATAACTCATGGATATTTCTGTTAGCATAGCTGATTTATTTGAATATTTATTGGGCGTAAATTATTAACATTTTGAATATTATTATGATCAATAAAAAAATTAATTATTTAATATATAATCTTCATAATCATTATATTTATTTACATCATAAAATATTACATATTATCCTAAGTTATTTAAGTAAAGGTTTTGTAAAAATCTTCAATAAGGAGTATCATGATATTTCATTATCACAATTGCTAATCAGTTACCTACATCCAACAAATAAAAGTAATCTTTTTTAAAGAAAAGGGCATGGCCAGGATTTTGCTAGGGAGAGGGGGGAGGGGGCCCTATTAGTTGGTGTTTTCCCCATTTTTTTTGGAGATCTTTAGGTCCACATATTATAGGCCATTCATTGGCTCTATTAGATTTTTGAAAAAATAATTTTTGATTTTCACTTTTTTTTATAAAAATGTTTTTTTTTTAAAAATTTGAATTATAAAGGTTATTTAAAAAAGTTATTAACTTTTATTAATTTTTCTTTCAAATTCTTATTTATAGTAATATATTGTTAACATGAGGGAAAGGAGGGTGAAGGTGTATAGGTGAGGGGGGAAATTTTTATTATCTTAAGATAATATTTACAAAAATAGACCTCCTCCTTGGCTACGCCTATGAGGAGGGAGGGGGCTTTGATAATTTCTTTAAAATAAAGTTGCATTGGTCTGAAATAATAAGTAAATATTTTGTTCTTAAGATTTAGATAAAACATTGTATTTTATATATTTATTACAAATCAAAGGTATTGTGTAAATTTATCATTCACCACCAAATCTACTATTCATCCTTAACCAAATCGAGAATTATTATCTGAGTCATAATAAATTTTTTATATATTAATTTAAATACCATAATTGCTAATCAGACCAACCGACATTCAACAAATAACCATATATTTTAAGGTTTTTTAAAATAAAAGGTTTTAAAAATCATTGATCGAGCATATGCTCATAGAAAAAAGAACTATATTATTTTTATTTGAAACAAGCTCGTATAAATAAAGATCATAAGATTTTATGCAGGCTCATTATTTTAAACAATCTTGTAGAAAACTTTTATTTTAATTATTCAAAAAAAATTGTATTGTATGTAAAAAACTGATGCGCCCTAATTTGAAATTAATTATTATTTTATTAGAAATAAGAAAATTACATATTTGATATGACCATTTAATTTCTATTTTAATAATGTAATTATCGATATATTATATTTAGTTTATAGGAAAAATTCATAAAACTATATTTCTATTTAATAAAATAATTTAGCAATAATTTGGAATAATTTTTATATCAGAAATGATATAATTTTATTTATTTAAAATTACCATACATTTTAATGATTGTATCTTGATGCAAAAATGTTGTATATGCATTTAGATAAACTTTAAAAAAAATTATCTGTATCTAG